TCCTGCCCTTCCAAGAAGAGAAGGGACAGAGCTTGCTTCCTCTCTTCCATGGGAGGGAACTCACCAGGCACAGATCTGCCCCACCTTGATCTTGGGCTTCCCAGCCTCCAAGAACTGTGAGAACTCAGTGCCTGCTGTTCAAGCCATGATCTGAGAGGTGAACCCTAAGGGCAGGGAGTGCGAAGTAGCAGTGACACCAGCTGTGAGTCCCTCTCCAGGGACATTTGGCAGCTGGTCAGAGGTGCAGGGCATGTGACAAGGATCCAGGCACAGTGGGTGTTAGCAGTGATGGAAGGACTGTGACTAGAAAGGCAAGTGAGTGGGAGAGCGAGACCAGGCTGTCACCCTGACATCCAGGTCAGTAAGGAAGTAAGTTTGGCCTAAGGGGCCAAATACCAGCAGAGCACGAAGGTGCTGGACATCCCAGAGACAGAGGAGCAGCAATAGGGGGTGGGCATGTGGGTGGGAAGGGCAGGGTCCTTGAGGTCCCAGCCAGACAGCAAGGTGTTAGGGTGGCAGATGCCATGTAGGGCATTTCTAGGTGATGCAGGATCTAGAGTGGCTGTAATCAGCTGCAGGTGGAGTAGAGGCAAAGGTCAAAGTTGTACTCCTGGAGGCAGGACTAGAAGACTGACCCAGGGACCAGGGCATGGGTGAATGCCAGGTAGTGACCATGGAAATTAGTGAATCAAATGAACCTTCAAGCAAGAGCCATTTTTATGTAGCATGGAGAGACAACAGGACCTGAGAATGCTGACCATACTTCGTAGCTGGTAGTAAGCAGAGTCATGGGATATGGGTGTCCATCACTCCAGAGAGCCACATTGTCCCTTTGGGACAGGTGACAGGTTGAGGCTGGAGGCTTCCCTGAAATTCTAGGAGAGCAGCAGGGTGAGAGACGAAGTGCAGAAAGCACCATGGGGCAGGCAAAAAGGAAAAGCCAGCCATCTGAAGGGCCCTGTACTGGGCACCTGCAACTGAGCATTACAGGGGCCTGGTGGTGCCTTGTAAAACTCTAGCGTCAAGTCCAGGCCCTGTGCAGGCACACAGGGATTAATCAGGATAATTAGTATGTCCGTCATCTTAGCCCTTTATATTGGGAATACTCCAAATCTCTACTTAGCTATCTGAGCTATTGATACACAGTCGGTTGTAGTTAACTATGGTGACACCACTGTGCTTTCTAACACTAGACCATTGGCATGGTTCCTCTTATCTCTGTAATTGTGTGGCCGTTAACCAACATCTCTCTATTTATCCCCCAATCTTTCCCAGCCCCTAGTGGTTGTTCTACATTCTGCTTCTAAGAAACCGTCCCTTTTAGTTTCTACATATGAAGAAGAATGTGTAGTGTTTCTCTTTCTATGCCTGGTTTATTTCACTAAACATCATGTTCTCCAGGCTCGCCCATGTTACCTCAAATAACAGGATCGCATTCTTCCTAAGGTCTGAATAGAATTCCATTGTGTTTATACCACGTTTCCATTCTCCATCCGTGGAGCTGCAGTAAGCTGTGGGGTATGGGTGTCTGTATGGCATACTGATCTTCTTTCCTTTGGATATACGCCTAAAAGGGGGATCGCTGGATTTTGGTCTGTTCTATTTTTAGTTTCTTAAGGAACTTCCAAACTGTTTTCCATCATGGTTGTACTAATTTACATTCAGGGATGGGATTTTATGCAGAATGTGGGTGGAAATGGGAGCCAGAATCCTGAACTCTAAGATCCAGCCTTGTTTTTCCCTTGCCCTGACCTTCCCTGCCCTATGGCAGCTCCCGGCATGGAGAGATCGCAGCCAGACCTGTCAGGCAGGATGGTGGAGAAAGGAAGTGAAGAAGGGCACCCTGAGCACAGAGATGGAAAATTGAATGGAAGGTGTGAGAAAGGCAGGAGGGTACAGAAGACAAATTGTCAAAAGAGTTCAGGGATTTAAGATTAAATGGCATTCAGATGCCATCATATCTCATGTGTGCCTGGCACTGGCAGGTGAGCTCATACCTCAAAATATATTCCATCTTCAGAGCCCACCTGAAGTATTCGCTCTAGAATGAGGAGCCTGCCATTGCGAGGATGGCTCTCTCTCTCTCTCTCTGTGGCCCTTTCCCTCTGCCGTAGGTTTCTTCCTCCCCAGATGAACCACACGGATTAAGAGATCATGCTGGAGATAATCCACGATGATGGATGATACTGAGTAATGTCCCTTGACGGGGGCAGAGATGGCGCGTTATGTAATATTTTCCTGCCATCGAGTTTACTCTATTTGGACAAGCTCATAGGAGACTAGGTTTGCCTGCCTGAACTCACAGCAGCAGCTTTAGGACATGGCGGAGGGCAGCAGAGAGCCTGATGGATTCAGAATGGATCCAGGATAAGTAAACGCTCCGCAACCTCTTGTGTTGCAGGTGATCGTGTGACAACTCTCACACTGTGTCTCATTGCACAGCATCCTTAGAAGAAAGTCCCAGGGCGCAGATTGTAAGGGAGGAGCCCTCTCCTGGCTCTGAAGGATGGGATGGAGCCTTCACCTCTGATGGGCAGTGGGTGTTCTTAGGTGTGAACCGTCCCCCTGAGAAGAGTAGGTACCCAGGGGAGCACAGGCTACACAAGTGAAGTCAGCCTGCTGCTGCCTGAGCTGGGTATGGATGGCTTGCTTGATGTGGGCATAGCTGGACTTGCACAAAGAGCCCTTGACGTGCCCCATTCTGACTTCTTCCGCCTCCCTTCCAGAACCCCAGGTTCCCAGGCAACCTTCAGATGAGTGACCGACAGCTGGACGAGGCTGGAGAGAGTGACGTGAACAACTTGTAAGTGGCTGTCCTCATGCTTGGACCCCATGGGAAAGAAAGCTTTTGTAGGTGTTGTCACTTCCTGGTGGGGACTAAGCCCACTCTGGGTGACTTGGCCTTGGGGCCACTTTATGACTGGTGTCTCCTCTGAAAGCCCTGCCTGGCTTTCCTCCCTGCCTCACCCTCCACCTTCCCATCCTGCACTGTTATTTGTCTTCTCCCTTCCCACTGTCATAGTTGACTCTTAGCCATGTTAGATCTTCACATGGCCTTAATACTCACAGGGGCAGAGGCTCAGAATTGGAGCTGGGGGGTGTGCGTGCGTGTTCATGCATTCATGTGTACACTGGGGATGGAAGCAGCAGTCCAGAGCACGGGGGAGGGCTGGTAAAAGATTGACCTAGGGTCTGTGGAGTATAAGCTCTTTCTTCTTGGGCCCAGCTTCCAGTTAACAGTGGAGATGTTTGACTACCTGGAGTGTGAACTAAACCTCTTCCAAACTGGTGAGTCTCTTCCCTCCCATCTCATCCTAGTTCTCCTGGGAATTGCCTAATTCCCAGCCTGATTCTCTACTTGAACCAGTTGGCCCAGCCCTCACCTCCTTATAAATAGTGCAGCACAATTGCAAGAAAATGAAGAGAGTCCAAGCACAGTTTTATCATAATGCACATTTCCCATGAACTTTTTGAATATCTCTAATATACTGTCATGGATGCCTTTTATTTGTTTAAAGAATTATTTTATTTTATTTTATTTATGTATTTACTTACTTTAATTTGACCAGAGAGGGACACAGTGAGAGAGAGAGAGAAAGTGAGAGGGCAAGCCACCAGGTCCAGGACACAAACCACAGTTGCCCATGTGGGAGTCCAGCGTCCTTAACCACCACGCCACCTGCTGGCCCCTGTAGCTAACTTTTAATTATTTTGCTTTGATTGAGAAGGACCTAGGTAGATAATTCAGAATTCGTTTACATTTAGCTATAGGATAAATGTAGTTCTAGAATTGTCACCCATGGGAAAGTCTGATCTAGAAGTTGCTGCTCAGCCATTCAAAGCCCTCTCCCAGCAGCCCCGGCCACCTCCTTGGAGCTGACTGCCCCTCTGCCAGTGATACAGCAGTGAGGGACCAGCATGAAGAGTTTTACCGCCTTTGCGGGTGTCCTCCAGCTCTGGCCAACAGACAGTGAATAAGCAGAGGTGGTGATAACATCAGAGGACTTGAGCAGGCTGAAAGGCATATGGGGCACAGGTGCTCGGCTCAGCTGTTCTCTTTGTCCAGCATCTCATGATCTGTTCTGGTTTCCTATGCATTGTTCCCTTCTGTTGTTACCACGAGGTGCTGAGTTCTTCCTCCTTGGTATCAGGAACCATGTCCTACTCATCTCTGAATTTCCTCTACTCTTGCTTAGTACCCACTATACAGGGTTCTTAAAAAGGTTTATGGGACCAGCAGGTGGCATAGTGGTTAAGGTGCTGGACCCTCCCACATGGCCTACCACAGTTGGAGTCCTGGACCTGGTGGCTTGCTTTCTCACTTTCCCTCCCTCTCTCTGTGTCTCTGTCTAATCAGATGAAAATAAATGAATGAATAAATTAAATTTAAAAAAAGGTTGGGGAGGCAGGTAGCATAGTGGTTAGGTGCACTGGACTCCCACATGGCTGACCATAGTTCAAGTCCCAGACCTGGTGGCTTGCTTTCTCGCTTTCCTCTCTCTTGCTCTGTCCCTCTCTGGTCAAATAAAATTGATAGATAGATAGATAGATAGATAGATAGATAGATAGATAGATAGATAGATAGATAATAAATAGATAGATAGATAGATGATATAGCTAAATAAAATAATTTTTAATAAAAATTGCCCTTTTAAAAAAAAAGTTTATGGATTTTAACAATTTTTTGCACCAAAATAAGCTCCTACTTAAATTTCAAACTTTTTGAAATACCTGTGTGTAGCAAAAAGGCAACAAAAAAGGACACTTTTTTTTCTTAAGGCTATAGGGCCTGTGTGCTTGCCAGAGAGACAGAAGGCACAAAATCACCACTCTAGTGGGGGATGACCATGCCATAGTTCCTTTTCCTCCTTTCTCCTCTTGGGATTTTGGGTAGCGTGTACACGCACCTGGCATGAATTTTAAGCCACTGGGTCCAGGACTCAAAGCACTGTCAACTGCATGGCAGCCCAGCAACATAACCATTACATCATCTGCTGATCCCCCCCAAAAAAGACATTTTTTTAAGAGAATTTTTTTATTTAATTGTATTTATCATTATTTTACTTTCATTTGCTACAGGGCACATATGCTCACCAGAGAGAGAAAAAGAGGGGAAAATGACAAAGCAAGCTGCCAGGCCTGGGGCCCAAACTGTACACAGTCATGAGGGAGTCCAGCACCTTAACTACCGTGCCACTTGCTGGCCCCCAAAGGCAGCTTTCGAAAAACAGCAGTGGGGCTGGCAAGTAGTTAAAGGTGCTGGACTCCCACATGGTCAACCACAGTTCGAGTCCCGGCCCTGGTGGCTTGCTTTCTCTCTCCCTCTCTGTCTCTCTCTGGTCAAATTAAAATAAATAAATAAATAAAGTTAAATAAAATAATTATTAAGAAAGAAAGAAAGAAAGAAAGAAAGAAAGAAAGAAAGGAAGAAAGAAAAGAAAAGGAGAAAAAGGCAGTTCACGGCAGTGCAGGGCCAGCAGATGGTTAGGGCGATGGACTCCCACGTGGCCAACTACAGTTTCAGTCCTGGACCCAGTGGCTTGAAATTCATGCGGGGCATGGGTGCGTGCATGCTCAAGATTCCAGGAGAAGAGATTGTGGCATGGCCATCTCCCCAGGGAATGTGTCTCAGTCTCTGTGTGTGTCTCTCTCTCTGGTCCTCAGGCAAAAAAAAAAAAACACGGACCAGCAGATGGAGTAATGGTTACATCGCTGGACTCCCATGTAGTTGACTATGGTTCGAATCCCAGATCTAATTGGGGCCAGCAGATGGCATGGTAGTTAGGTGGCTTGAAACTCACATCAGCACATGTGCGTGCATGCCCAAAATCCTGAGAGGTGAATGGAGGAAAAGGGATCGCAGTATGGCCATCCCTGTAGGGGAGGGCATTCGGTGGCATAGTGGTTAAAGTACCAGACTCCCACATGGTTGGCTGTGGTTTGGGTCCTGGACCTAGGTACTTGAAACTCAAGCCAGGCACATGTGTGTGCATACCCTAAACCCTAAGAGGAGAGTGGGGGAGAGGGGATTGTAGCATGGTCATTCCCCCTGGAGAGTGATGTCTTGCTTTCTGTCTCTGTCTCTCTGGTGTGTGTATGCATCCTATAGCAAAAACCTCTCAAAAGTCAAACAAAAAATCCTCTGACCAGTACCCTTGAAAACACTGGCAAATGACAGTTGTTGTTTACTTTGAGCACTTTGGATTTCAACATGTGGTGCCTAAACAAGCAGCATCAGCATCTCCTGAGCACTTGTTAGAAATGCAAGAACCAGCAGATGGCATAATGGTTACGTCGCTGGACTCCCACACGGCCAGCTGCAGTTTGAGTCCCAGACCCAGAGGCTTGAAACTCATGCCAGGCACATGTGCCTTTATGCCCAAAACCCTAAGAGGAGAATGGAAGAGAAGGGATTATGGTATAGTTATCCCCTCTGAGGGGTAGTTTCTCTCACACGGCCTGTAACAAAAATCTCCATGAAAAAAAAAAGAAGAAGAAGAAAGAAATTAATGGGTCCCACTCAAACCTTCTGAATCAGTATCTCCAGAAGTGAGTCACAGAGCTTGTGTCTTTACACTTCCCCACCTCCAGTATTCACTGTCCAGGAGGTAGCCATTAGCCACATGCGGCTATTTAAATAGCACTTACAATTCAGATCCTGGGGGAACCAGCAGGTAGCTTTTGGTGGTTAAGGCTCTGGACTCCCACATGGTCAACCACAGTTCAAGTGACAGACCTAGTGGCTTTCTTTCTCTTTCTTTGCTTCTCTCTGGCTAAAAAAATAATAATGATTGGGGCCAGCAGGTGGCATGGTAGTTAGGGGTGCTGGGCTTCCACACGGCTGACCGCTCCTTGAGTCCCAGACCTGGCAGCTTGCTTTCTCATTTTCCCTTTCTCTCTCCCTCACGCTGTCCCTCTCTGATCAAATTTAAATAAATAAATAAAATTTTTTTTTAATGATAAATAATTTTTATTTTATTTTTTTATTTTTGAGAGATTTTCACTGTAGGGTGCGTGCGCTCGCCAGACAGACAGAGAGAGACGTAGAGACAGAAAGCGAGAAATCACCCCCCAGGGGGGATGGTCACGCCGCAATCCCTTCTCCTCCATTCTCCTCTCGGGATCTTGGGCACGCACGCACACGTGCCCGGCGTGAGTTTTAAGCCACCGGGTCCGGGACACGAACTGCAGTCGACTACGTGGGAGTCCAGCGACATAGCCATTACGCTAACTGCTGGTTCCCATGATAAATAATTTTTTAAAAAAGATCTTCAGTATTTGTATTTTCAACATCTTTCACATAGCCCCTTGGGGCCAGCATATTGGATGGTGCATGAACATTTCCATCATTTCAGAATTCTTTTGGACAGTGCTACTCTGGGTGATTCTTATGTGTGCTAATGTTTGTAAATCAGTGAGCCAGGAAATAACCATTCTCTTTTCTTTTCCTTTTCCTTTTTTTTTTTTTTTTTTTTTTTTTGAGCATTTTTTTGCTTTGGGGTCCGTGGTTGTCAGAGAAAGACAAAGAGACAGAAAGCAAGAAATCACCTCCCAGGGGGATGGCCATGCCGCGATTCCTTCTTCTCTATTCTCCTCTTGGGATTTTGGGCATGCATGCACACGTACCCGGTGTGAGTTTAAGCCACTGGGTCCAGGACTCGAACCACAGTCAGCTACATGGGAGTTCAGCAACATAACCATTACGCCAACTGCTGGTCCCAAAATAACCATTTTCAACCCTGGCTGCATATTAGAATCACTAGGGTGTCTTTCAAAAGCTACTGATATCCTAACCCTATCCTGGACCAGTTAAAACACTGGGAGATGGTGGAGTGGAAGGCCGACATTAGTTTTCCAGTTTCTCCAGGTGATCCTAAATGGTCTGCAAGCTGAGAACCACTGCGCAGGGCTGTGCACTGTGCACGATCTCCTCACTTAAACCTGAGGCCCTATGAGGGATGTGTTCTTCTACCCATCTGTGCCTTACAGAAGAGCATCTGCAGGCACAGAGAGATGGAGTACCTTGTCCACGGTCACACTGCTAGAGATGTTCCTGGGCGCCTAGGGGCATTCCTGGAAGGCATCAGGAAAGCAGCTGGCAGCTGAGAGATGGAACAGTCTCCAGGTCCTTGGCAGAGAGGAGACTAAGGAGGCCAGTCGACCGGGGATGGCTGCCTTGCAGTGACAGCTGCTTTTAATTTGTCAAGAAGAAAAGCTGCCTTTTAATTAGGACAGTTTGGGATTTTTTTCAGCAATTAGAATAACCCAGTTACCGGGGATTAGTGCCACTGGGAAGCCAAAGCATGTGCAGCTCAGGGCTTCCCTCGGGGGCATTCCCACTCACAGAGGGTCCCCAAGGAGAGTCGGTTTGTTGCCTACCATGTGCAGAGTCTCCAGAGGCAGTGGGCAGCCAGCACAAATGGGAATATCAGCACTGGCCAAGGAAGGAGCCGAGGACTAGGCCAAGCATCCAGTTGCTTGGTTTAGGATCTGGGTCAATGTGGAGGAATCCCTGGAACAAGGACAGAGGAACTTTCTTTCTGGAACTTGGGAACCTGGAGGGCAATGCAGACGGTCCCTGTCTTGCGATGGTTTAACCTAGGATTTATTGACTTGTCAATGGTACAAAGGGATGCCCATTCAGTGGAAACTACTCTGAATTTTCATCTTTTCATCAGCTAGCAGTTTGCAGTGTGATACTCCCGTGTGATGCTGGGCAGCGGCAACAAACCACAGCTTCCGGTCAGCCACTCAGTCAGGAGAGTACACGACTGATACTCTATGGCGTTCTGTGTTCAGTAAAGTACATGAGATAGTCCATGCTTCATTATAAAGTAGGCTTTTTTGAAAGTTTATTTATCTATTCTACCGGCAGAGAACACCCCCAACAGGGTCCTCACACTATGATCAACCTAGTCTCAGATGGCCCAGATCACAGGCACATGTGCGTGTGCATGGTATGCTCAGGGAGGTCCAAGGACACCAACCCAGAGCCTTCCCCTTGTGGGCCCAGTTGTGCTGCCACCGTGCCGCTGTCAGGCTCTAAAACAGGCTTTGCGTTAGATGGTTTTGCCCAGCTGTCAGCTAATGCACGTGAAGTGTTCTGAACATGTTTGAGGTAGACTGGGCTAAACTGAGATGTTCGGCAGGTTAAGTATGTTAAGTGCATTTTTGACTGATGATATTTAGTCAAAAATTAATGATAATTAACAGTGGATTTTTCAGGACATAACCCCATAGTGTAAGTCAAGGAGTGTCTATACTTCTGTTGATCACCTACCCCAGGGAGATTGATCAACCTTTGACCCTTATGGTTCCTTCCACTTCCAGCCCCTCATAGGCTCTCCATCAGTCCACCCAAGGCTGCACATCCCTCTTCTGGTGTTCTAAGGACCCTGTAGGCCGCCACCAGGAAGCTACTCTAATGCTTCCCTCTTCCTTCTCTGATCATTTTTCTGCTGCTACCATCGGATTTGGTGCTTCAGAGGATCAGGGATTATCGTCAGACTGAATTCCTGCCTGAGAGAGAGGGCGGGATTGGCTGTCTCCACAGCCCCTTTCAATTCTGAAACTCTTAATTCTCCATTAAATCAGAAATCCTAAAAGAAGATTTGTTCTGTCTTTCCGATTAGACGGGAGCAGTTAGTATGAAGTTCCTCAGGGACAGGAAAGAGGGGATTCTCCTGTTCTAGAAGCTTTCCCCACTTATAGCAAATTTCGTCTTTCCCAGGCGGGCACAGGGCTCTGCGCCATGTCGAGCCTAGTGCACCTGCTCACAGCACGCCCAGCCTCTCAGCGGGAACAGAGGCACCTAGTCCAGCCATCCTTGGCCATGCGTGCTAGCTGACCATTTGAGCTCACCACCTTTCAGCTAAACCATTTCTTAGCTTTGTGATCACCTTCAAGTTACTCATGCTCCAGTTCTTTACCTGTGTGGCAGGGATACCTTTATCTCATAAGAATGTCGGGAATGGTAAACAAGTGAGACCACAAATGCACAGATTAAGCCCTTAGTGTGTGTTAGACTCCTGCCTCTGAAGAGGGCACCTGTCATTTCCTAGTTCTACTGCCTTTCTTCCTCTTTTATTTCCTAGTGTTCAACTCCCTGGACATGTCCCGCTCTGTGTCAGTGACGACAGCTGGGCAGTGTCGCCTCGCCCCCCTGATCCAGGTCATATTGGATTGCAGCCATCTCTATGATTATACCGTCAAGCTTCTCTTCAAACTGCACTCCTGTGAGTATGCCAGGAGGAGCTTCTCTAAGCTTCGAACCTGAGGATGTCCCTGGAGAAATGCAGCCCTTCTCAGTGCCCTGGGCTTGCTTCTATGCTGAAAGGCTCTGGAGCTCCTGACCATGAGTAGAAAAGCAGGGCCCAGGCTTTGGTATGCCCAGCATGCCAAAGTTGCTTAGGAGCACTAAATATAGATCGGCTTTTCTTTGTCCCTAAAATACACAGTTGTCTAGCAGAACTTCTTATAAAATTAGAAGAGGCAACTAATTAAGTATTGGGTGCAGGGCCTTCTTCACAGCACACTGTGTACTTGCATGCTTCAAGACTCATATTGATGCTTCTGGGCAGGGTAACTGTGGCTAAGGAAAAGGGTAGGAGGGACACACTATAGAGTAAGTACTTTTTGAAAAGTAAATGTTTATTTATTTTTTTTTTTAAGAGTCTTTTGCTATAGGGTGCGTGCGCTCACCAGAGAGACAGTGAGATAGAAAGTGAGAAATCACCCCCCAGAGAGGATGGCCACGCCGCAATCCTTTCTCCTCCATTCTCCTCTCAGGATCTTGGGCACGCACACACACACCCGGCGTGAGTTTTAAGTCACCGGGTCCAGGACTCGAACTGTGGTCGACTACGTGGGAGTCCAGCAACATAGCCATTACGCTAACTACTGGTCCCAATGTTTATTTTTATTCCAAAAGAGAGAGACAAGGGGCCAGCAGATGGCATAGCAGTTACATCACTGGACTCCCATATGGCCAACCACAGTTTGAGTCCTGGACCCAGTGGCTTGAAATTCACGTCAGGCACATGTGCATGCATGGCCATCCCCTCGGGGTGACTTCTCACCCTCTCACTGTCTCTGTTCCTTTCTCTCCAGTGAGTGCATACAGGGAGTACCCCCTGGCAGGGCTGTGTACTTTTCTCCCCCAGAGCCCTGCCGAGTCTTGCCCACCTTCTGGTCCTTCTCTGCCCTCATATTCTTTCCAACGTCTTCCAGGTCTCCCAGCTGACACCCTGCAAGGCCACCGAGACCGCTTCATGGAGCAGTTCACAAAGTAAGTGGCTCAGGTGATAGGATCGAAGGTAAATTGAAAAGTTCTATAAAATCAGTTAATGTATGCAAACACACTTGCTTTAAAATACATGAGTTGTAAGCCAGCAGGCGGCTTGGTAGCTAAAGTGTTGGACCCCCACATGGCTGACCACGTTCAAGTTCTGAATTCTGCGACTTAATGCCAAGCTCATGTGTGTACATGCCCAAAACCACAGGAGGAAAATGGAAGAGATGGGATTGCGGCATGGCCATGCCCCCAGTGAGTGATTTCTTATTTCCCTTCTTACTGTATGTCTGGAATGTGTAGACACTCTGTGGCAGAGACCATAAAAAAAATAAATTGAGGGGCCAGCAGATGGCATGGTGGTTAAAGGTGCTGGATTCCCACATGGCCGGCTATGGCTCAAATCCTGGATTTGGGGCCTTACTTTCTCGCTTTCTCTTTTTCTCTCTCTCCGTGTCTCTGTCTGGTCAAATTAAAAAATAATAATAACAAATGGTATTAAATAAATAAATACTTATTTTTAAAAATTGAAGAGTGAAGGTGTCAGCATTTTAAGTCAATAAAGTAATAAAAAAATAGATAGGATGGGCAAACCTACCAATAGCTGGGGAAGCTATCAGTTGGTTCTATAAGAAACTCCTTAAAAGGTAATAGAAGAAAGGTATTTCATCCATTCATTAATCACCTGCTTATGCCGAAGATTCGTCCGCTTCTCTTTTTCCTCTACCTAAGTTCTCCTGATCTCAGGCCATTTCCACACTGATGGCTCCAAAATGTGTATCTCCAGCGAAATCTTTCTTCTAAATTCCAGTCTCGCATAATTCAATTTGATATCTCAAACTAAATTCTAAGTGTTCCTAAAAAATGTATTTCTCCCCATCCTTTTTATTGCAACAAATACTGCCTCCATTTGTTAGGGCTAGAGATCCGGAACTCGCCATTTTTCCTCGTCCACCTTCTCTGGCCCATTAGCAGATTGAGTTGACGCCCTCCAAGTAGGTCTGGCTCTGCCCACATTCCCCAACTGCCTTCAAGGACCCTCCAACATTGACCAGATTCCTTAGATTCCCACTCCTGCCCCCTACCATTCAGTCCTCACCCAACATATAGAACAAACTTACAAGATGTAAATCCCTTGTTCAAAACCTTGTAATGGCTCTGGTTATGCTTAGAATAAGATCTAAACTCATCTCCATGGTCTTTGAGGCCCAGGATGACCTGGCCCCTGCCTGCCATCTCTGACTGTATCGCCATTGTTCACGGTGCTTCAGCACTTGAGGTCTCCTTTCAGTTCCTCCATCAGGACGTTTGCACTTGTTGTCCCCTAATTGGGTTAGCCTTCTCCCAGCCTGGCCAGTCAAGTCTTCTTCCCCATCTCCTGTTTCTCCAACCCCTACCCCTCTCCACCAGGTTCCTAATACTGCACCCCATTTGTTTCCTTTCTGGGCCTTTTTTTTTTTAGGGTATTTTTGTTTTGTTTTGTTTTTGCATTAGGATGTGTGAGCTTGCCAGGGAGAGAGAAAGAGAGATAGACACAGTAAAAGGGAAAGTGAGAAATCACACCTCAAGGGAGATGGCATGCCACAATCCATTCTCTTCCTGGGATCTAGGACACGCACACACACACACATGCCTGGCGTGATTTTTTTTTGGGGGGGGAGAAGTTTTTGTTATGGGGCAAGTGAGCTCGCCAGGAAGACAGAGAGAGACAGAGAGATAGAAAGCGAGAAATCACCCCCCAGGGGGGATGGCCACACTGCAGTCCCTTCTCTTTCATTCTCCTCTCGGGATCTTGGGGACGCATGCACACGCGCCTGGCCTGAGTTTAAGCCACCGGGTCCTGGACTTGAACCGCAGTCGACTATATGGGAGTCCGACAGCATAGCCATTACGCCAACTGCTGGTTTCCCTGGAATGATTTTGAAGTCACCAGGTCCAGGACTTGAAGCACAGTCAGCCATGTGACTACAGTGACATAATTGCTACGCCATCTGCTGGTCCCTCCTTCATGGTTCTGACACAACTTTATCCTATGACTGTCTTATCCTTGATGATATCCCTGGCACCTGACAGATAGCAGTCAGTCAGTTAAGCACAGAGTACTCAACAAATAATTGAATGAACGAACCCACCAATAAGCCAGCCCTCTAGTCTGGAAGAGAGGAGCTTGTCTAACTGAGGAGTAAATTATCCTGGTGCATTGTGGGTTGGGGGTGGTGACTGGATGAGAAATACAGCTCTTCCTTGAAGTACATGTACCCAGGATGAGGGGAAGGATGGACTAAGAGATAGCAACTAAGGGATCTGAAGGCATTGGGCTTAGCACTGCATTTTGTTTTATAAAAATTTTTCAAGTTTATTTATTTGTTCCATGAGAAAGAGACAGGCATCCCCAACAGGGTCCTAATGCCACAGTCCCACCTCCAGCCTCACCCAGCCAGGATCATAGACATGTGTGTACGGATGTGTGCACATCTGGAAGGCCTTGGGACTCAAATCTAGGACCCTCAATACAGCCTTAGCATCACAGAGCATTGGGTTCACACTGTGCCACTGCAGCTGGCCAGTGCTGCATATTTTGACCCTCTTGTTTTTCCTATTAATTTCTTCATCCTTGACCAGAGCCCCTTAATCCTGAGGTTAGGCTTCCCTTGCTGGCCCCTAGCAGCAATCACAGAACAGGTGCAGGGCTGTACTAACTTCCCAGTTTCCCTACTTCTTGGGAGAAGCCTTGTACATGTTCTATAATAAATGACTTATTAAATCCTAGGAGACAGGCCAGAGGCTGATTTCCTGAAATGTTAAATGCCAGTAGCTTGTGAAAGCGCTAGAACCTATTACTGTTGGCTCCACCCCAGAAAGACAGGGCCATGTGGTCTGGTGATTTCATTTCCTTTCATTTTTCTTAAGCTTATGAAAACATCACTCATGCATAGCCACCTTACATTCTCTTCCACACAGACGTGGCCACCCTCTGAGGCCTCATGTCCTTGCACTCAGGGAAAACCACAGTGACATCATGGGGCCAGACCTAACTCTTGGGACCTGAAAGGCTGTAATGAGATCATAGGGGTTTAGTCTGTTGTGTGGAGCTAGAGAAAAGTCTGTGTTGTAGCCAGAGGGTCTTGAGATCTATTATCTTTTTTTTCGTTTCAGAACATTTAAGGAGATTTCAAAGAGTTCATGGAAAAATGGAATTAACATACAAGTTTGGGTGCAGAAATTTTGAAATCTTTGCATGTGTTTTCCCAGTCTTTTTTCATTTGCTGGAGAGAGACGGAGAGGGAGAGAACACAAGAAAGCACTCCCCAGAGGGAGCATGGTCATTGCGATAATCCCTTCTCCATTTCTCCCTCCTCTTAGGATTTTGGACACCCACTCATATGCACTCGATGTGTATGTTATGCCACTGGGTTTGGGACTTGACTGACTTCTAGACAGCCATGTCAAATTCAGCTACTTATACACCAGGCCACAGGATGGCACAGTTTTTTCATAATATACATTTTCTTTTTTTAAGAGGCTTTTTGTCATAGGGCATGTGCACTCCCCAGAGAGAGAGAGACAGTGAGAAGAAAAGTGAGAAATCACCCCCCAAGGGGGATGGCCATGCCTCAGTCCTTTCTTCTCCTAGGTTCTCGGGCTCGGACACATGCGCCCTGGTATGATTTTCAAGCTACCAGGTCCAGGACTCCAACCATCGTCAGCCATGTGGGAGTCCAGTGACTGTAATCGCTACGCCATCTGCTAGCCCCCGTAATATACATTTTCCATGAACTCTTTTAAGACCCCTCAGATAAATCTGAATTCTCCCCACTTCCTTAGTCTTCAGTGTTCAAATTCAAAGTACAAATTTGGGAATGAGAAATAAATGTTGGTTGCCCATATTTATCCAAGATTAGGGCACGGTATGGATAGATTGTTATTTTCTGACAAGTATTGACTGAGTAACTCCTGCATACCTAGGCCTATGGTAAACATAGACAAGCAGGGCTTAATCCCTGCCCTCTAGAAGCCAATTGGGTAGATAACAAATAGCTCAAAATCAAGGTAAATTAGTTGAAAAGAGATTTACCTTAGTAATTAAGTTCCCATCCCTTTTCTTGTAGTTTGTTTATTTTTCCTCAGAGACAGAAGTTTATTTTAATGTTAACTCTAAGCTAGACATTGCTAGGAAAATAAATCTATTGAACAACAACATATGAGGGGACTCAAAAAAGTTTGTGGAAAAATGAAATATTAGTTTATTTTGATGCACAAAATTTTTGAAATCCATGTATAGTTTTTTTGTTTGTTTGTTTTTTGTTTTTTGTTTTTGTTTTTGTTTTTTTGCTATAGGGCGCGTGCACTCGCCAGACAGACAGAGAGACAGAAAGTGAGAAATCACCCCCCAGGGGGGATGGCCATGCTGCAATCCCTTCTCCTCCATTCTCCTCTCAGGATCTTGGGCACTCACGCACATGTGCCTGGCGTGAGTTTTAAGCCACCAGGTCCAGGACTCGAACCGCAGTCGACTATGTGGGAGTCCAGCGACATAGCCATTACACTAACTGCTGGTCCCACCATGTATAGTTTCTTTTAAAATATGCATTTTTCACAAATTTTGTGAAGACCCTTCCGTGTAGTCTATAGTGATGAATAAATTCAGTCTTGGATTATCTACCGTTCCAAAAGGTTGGTAGCTTGAACTACTCTTTATTCACTACCAGAAAAGCTGAGGAGGCTATAAATGCTCTTCTGTAGCATCATAATTGAATCCTAGCACCATGGAGGCCATCTCCTTGACAGCCTGTGCCTTCAGGCTGGGTAGGGGGTAGGAAAACCAGGTGTTCTGTCCCCCACCAGGGGCAGGGGAAGACATCAGCACCCCTCAGGCTCTGCTCCTCTCCTAGGTTGAAAGATCTGTTCTACCGCTCCAGCAACCTTCAGTACTTCAAGCGGCTCATTCAGATCCCTCAGCTGCCTGAGGTAAGTCAACCCAGCCATGCCCTGAGCACTGCAGGTTCCCAAGGGACTCTATTGGAGACCAGTGGCCTGGCAGGTGAGCACCTTTTGAGGATGTGTCTCCTCTCTTCAGAACCCACCCAACTTCCTGCGTGCCTCTGCCCTGTCTGAACACATCAGTCCAGTGGTGGTCATCCCAGCCGAGGCCTCGTCCCCTGACAGTGAACCAGTCCTAGAGAGGGATGACCTTATGGACATGGATGCCTCCCAGAAGGTAGGACTACTTGAGGGAGAAACTTGGCCCTTCCTATGCCCCCACATACCAGGAGGTTCGGAGGGGGGGGGAATGGGAGAGGTGTTGACCAAGGCTCCTTAGCTCTAACCTGGGCCAGCCTTCTCCTAACCAAGCACTAACCTAGACCAAGCTCCCTGCTCTGTGGGTCCTGGAGGGATCAGAAATAGAATGGGGGCATCCTTATGTCTCACTCATTTGACCCACACGTAGAATTCTCTGGATCTCTAACGTGTTCTCACTCCCTTTTGGTCACGGCAGAGTTTATTTGACAACAAGTTTGATGACATCTTTGGTAGCTCGTTCAGCAGTGATCCCTTCAATTTCAACAGTCAGAACGGTGTGAACAAGGATGAGAAGTGAGTTTGAGCAGACGGTGTAGAAACTGAGTTAAGCCATGATCTGTCTTCTTTTATTTATTTATTTATTCCTTCCATGGACAAGAGAGTTAGCACTCCCAACAGGGTCCCAGTGCCACAGTCCACTCCCAGCCTTCAGCCAGCTAAAGGACCAGGTCATGGACAACTGAATGCCAGTACACTGAAAGAAGTCTCTGGACTTGAACTGGGAATCCCTCATGTGGGATTGCCTTACAGATGACACTTTGCCACTGCACCACTATCTGCCTTGCCAAGAGTAGTTCTTAATTACAGTTAATTAAGGGCCTTCTTAGGTAAAGATTATCTTGACCCTCAAATCCTTGGCCCCTTTAGTCCCTGAGTAAAACCAACAACTGTGGACCTGAGAGTATTAGACTAGTATCTGGGAACACTTAAAGCACCCGCTCTTCACTTCCTCCTATCTCCCACCTCACATTGGAGAGGAGAGGGGTCGGAGCACAGGGTTAGCAAACTCATCGGCTTCTCTTCCCAGGGACCACCTCATTGAGCAACTATACAGGGAGATCAGTGGGCTGAAGGCACAGCTGGAAAACATGAAGACTGAGGTATGTATGGGGATCTGATCAGCTTTTGTGCTTCAAAACATGACAGATTTTAGTATTAAACTCACATCACACAGACACTTGTTGGTGCATCCTAAGTAGAAATGCCGAAGCTAAAGAAGCTAGTCTTCCTGCGGTCTCCATTATAATTCATGTCCCTGAGCCATGGCTTTAGCATGTAAGCCAGGCTTGTGTCCCTGTGATAAGAAGAGTTCTGACTGTAACCCTGATGGCCGACTGCAATGTCTGATGCTATACATGAGAGGTCTTCAAAAAGTTTGGAAAATGTATATCATGAACAAAACAATGCATGGGTTTTAACTTTTTTTTTGTACCAAAATTAACTCAGTTTAATTCTGTTTTCCGTGAACTTTTTGAGGTCCCATCATACATGATGCCCTCCAGAGCTCTGACTGGTCAGAAGACCTTACAGGGACAAGCTAGTATCCTCTTTTTCCTCCTTCCAGCGAGCACATTGATACCCTTGGCCCACTCTGACTAGAACCAGAATTTCCTGCTGTCCTCCCCTATCGTTGGGTGGGCGGCTTATAATGACCAGAAGGCTCAGCACTCATGAGACCTTGGGCTTGGCTTGTCAGAAAAGCCTAGGTATCTGTGGTCAGTACTGGCAACACGGCAGGACTCGCATTTCCTGCCCGGCACTCCCAGCCCACAGCGGTTGAGTACATCAGGATCCTCACCCAGATTCCCCCACAGAGCCAGCGGGCTGTGTTGCAGCTGAAGGGCCGCATCAGTGAGCTGGAGGCCGAGCTGGCTGAGCAGCAGCACCTGCGGCAGCAGGCGGTAGACGACTACGAGTTCCTCCGGGCGGAGCTGGACGAGCTCAAGAAGCAACGAGAAGACACCGAGAAGGCTCAGCGGAGCCTGACAGAGATCGAAAGTGAGAGGCTGTGGGACTGTGCAGGGAGGAGTGGTGGGGAATGCAGGCATAGTTAGATTTAGGGTTAAGGTGAGGGTGGGACGGCAGAGCCAGGCCTTACCTCTTTCTAGAAGTGCCCTCGGAAACACTGGTTGCTGTTGTCAGGGGGCATACTTAAGGTGCTGCTGAGTACATGGAGGTGGTGACGGAAGGAAGGTGATGATGGTGTATCTTTCTAGGGGAGTAGAGAAGAGAGAAGCAAGATATTCTCAGAGCCTGAGAAAAAGTTAATGTATGGGCAGCAGGTGATGCAGAGGTTTCAGCCGCTGGATCTCACCTAGCCAACTGCACAGTTCAAGTCCCAACCTCGTGGTTTGAGGAGCACACTGGGCATGTGTGCATGCATACCCAAAAATCCAGAGAGGAGAGTAGAGAAGAAGAATGGATTGTGGCATGGCCATCCCCCCTTGGGGGGTGATATCTCACTTTCCCTTTTTCTCTCTAGTGAGCTCACACACTATACCAAACTTAAAGTTTTTATAATTAATGTGAAAGTCCAAAACCCTGGTAAAGGTCATGTACATCAGTGCTGAAGAGGCTTGAATCAGTGGACTGATTTTAGTTGGTGAATTGTTTTTGTTAAAGGTAACTTCCCACAGAAGTTTATTTAAGTAGGATTTGGGGTGGAGAAGAAAGCATATATGTTTGTGGGGAGAAAGGAAGATATAAGGACCCTGGCTTCTTGGAGGGAGGTCAGAGGGTTCTCAACCAGATGGACTCCTCACCTTGGTCTTTGACAATCCAGGGAAGGCCCAAGCCAATGAACAGCGGTATAGCAAGCTCAAGGAGAAGTACAGCGAGCTGGTTCAGAACCATGCTGACCTGCTGCGGAAGGTAGGACCCTTAACCCCCTCACCATCCTGTAAACCCATGCCACCGAGGAACTAGCCCCTCAGGCCTCGTAGCTTCTCCAGGTCCTGTACCCTGACCAGTTTCTTGAGAACCCCAGCTTTTCAAGCTCTCATAGCTTGAGCTCTAGCTTGGGTGCTGACCCCACTTAGGTTACTCACCATCTTTTTATTACTTTCATAAATACTTGAAAATAAAACATCTGAAGGTATAGCTTGATTCCAGCTTCCCTCTGAGTAGGAAAGTGATGTGTGTGTCCAGTTCTAGGGCACTCACAATCTGAATGTGATCCTTTGTTCTAGAAGATATCTTTTAAGCCTGAGATAAGTCAGTTCACGACACTGTTCTTCCCTTGCAGAATGCAGAGGTGACCAAACAGGTGTCTGTGGCCAGACAAGCCCAGGCAGACTTAGAACGAGAAAAAAAAGAGCTGGAGGATTCCTTCGACCGCGTAAGTGACCAAGCCCAGCGGAAGGTGAGTGTAGGAGAGGACCCTGGGAAATGAGGGAGCAGTCTGAGTAGAGGCAAGCCTTGACCATTGCACAGACTGAAGGACTTGTCGTCCCTGCTCCAGGGTCAGTTCAGTGAGTGGGTTTGCAGCTCACAGAGCTGGAGAGTACCATTACCACGGTAGGCCAACACAGGACAGCAAGACGGTGCCCATCCAGGCACTGCAGTCCATGGTGTATGGAACTGCAGGGCCAGAAGCCAAATAGCTGATTGTACTTTGGATCCCTGGGTCAGCCTGAAAATGTACTGGGTATACATGGGCCCCCAAGATCCTAAGGAGCTGGAGAGCTGGAGAAAAGGGATTGTACCATAATGAGACCCTATTTAAGGGTGCTTTTTCTATCTTCCCCTGTATGTGCACATACACACTATCGTTTAGAAAAATGGTTGGTTCCCAATGCAGACACAGATTAGGGGCATGGAATAATGAAAGAACCCAAATGGGGTGGAGTTAATCAGCTAAGGCCTTCTGAGGGTGAGGCTCAAGAAGAGTTAGAGAAAAGAAAAATAAAGAAAGCACCTGGTTAGCAAAGAGGGCAGAGAGCATTTGTAAAGTCTTGTAGACAAGAGAATGCCATTGTGTTGGGTGGGGTTGGCAGGCAGATCAGAGACTTAAGAAGTAGGCGTAAGAGATGTTGGACACATTATCTGAATACCTTAGACTTAGAGAAGTGACTCACATTTTTCTGTGACCCAAAGTCAAAAGTATATCTGTCGGGCCAGCTGATGGCGTAGTGATTACATCACTGGACTCCCACATGGTTAACCACGGTTCCAGTCCCGGACCCACTCATGCCAAGCACATATGCGTACATGCCCAAGATCTCAAGAGGAGAAGGGATTGTGGCATGGCCATCCCCCCAGGGGATGATTTCTCACTTTCTCTTTCACTGTCTCTGTCTCTCCCTCTCTCTCCCCAGCCAGCGCACACACCCTCAAGCAAAAACCTCTAAAAAAAAAATTTTTTTAAGTACATTTCTCTAATGGAAGTAAACGTTTCACCAAGCAATATTTGTCCTTACTAAGTGAATGTGTATAGGTAGTTTCTGTCCTACTTAGTCCATTCTGAAGACACGTTACTTGTGGGTTCTTACTAATGGTCATAACTCGCTCGTGGAAAGAAAAGAAGTCAAGGAAAGGGAATCATTTCAAGATGGTGAGATGCTATAGGTCAGCATTGGTCCAGGTGTAGAGATCCCTGAATTTAAGATCCAGTTCAACTTCAATCAGTATTATGGGCTCAAGAATGATATCTGAGAAACATCCCTAAAATTCATTCTTTGGCATTCCATTTACCCAGAAGAAAAATTGGAAGTACACTCTAGGGTCTCAGAGTGTACCTTTCTCCAACCCCTGGCACTTCCGATTTGTGTATAACTTGCACACAGTAGAGTAAGTAGCACTCACACTGACAGCTCAGGAAACTCTTACACTTGTGTATCCCTTGTAACCACCACCTAGATCAGAATCCCCAGTTTTCTTCTCTTTCAGACTCAAGAACAGCTAGAAGTTCTAGAGAACTTGAAGCAAGAACTTACAGCCAGCAAACAAGAGCTCCAGGTCCTCCAAGGTAGCCTGGAAACGTCTGCCCAGGTGAGCTCCTCTCTGCTGTCCTCCTGGCTTCCAAATTGCTGTTACCCAGCGTCCTGCACTTGACCAGGCTGGCCCATCTCATCTGCCACCAGCATGTACTCAGGGGAACGAGAGTGACAGGTTAAAGAGATACTGCCTTCTGATCCTGATGGCCAGGCGTGGTGGGTTTGGATCTCTGTGTGAGAGCCAGCTGGATTCTCCTAGTAACTCCCCCTTCCTGTGTGCTCACTGCTGCAGTCAGAAGCCAAGTGGGCGACTGAGATCACCAGACTAGAGAAGGAGCGGGACAGCTTGGCAGGTGTTGCGGCTCATCAGGAGGAGGAGTTATCTGCTCTTCAGGAACAGCTCAAACATACCCAGGTCAAACTGGCCAGTGCACAGGCAAGTAATGGACCCTGCTTGGACTGACCAGATGTGAATGCACACCAGAGGGTGTGTGTGTAGAGGCCCACGGAGAGGCTGTGAAGGGGCTTGGGGCCTTCAGCCTGGTGGCAAAGGCACAGCTCCTAGTGCCAGCATGCCCCGTGTCAACCACAGAACTGGTAAAGGAAAGCAAAGCACTCTTTTTGGTATGAGAAGAGAAGCACTTGACTTCTCTCCCAGGAGTGGAGACTAGGTTGCAGTAGTCTATCCCACTGGCCTCCTTTGATCAGTAGCACCTGTGAACAAAGTTAATACAGTTTTCTCTGTCTCCAGCTAACTTAGACTTCATCAGTGGCAACTTAAGCTAAGAAGCCAGGAATCCCAGCTCAGGCACAGGGGTGCTGCTCAGGGTTCATTATGGGGTTCTGGCAGAGTCTCAGTCTGGTCTCAGCTCTCTGGACCATTTCTAGGAATCTATGTGCCAGCTCGCAAAGGACCAACGGAAAGTGCTTCTAGCGGGGTCCAGGAAGGCTGCCGAGCGTGTGATACAGGAGGCCCTGAGCCAGCTCGAAGAACCCACTCTCATCAGCTGTGCTGGATCTGCAGGTACCTTCCACCTGCCTGGCTCGTAGGTGCCAGGTTCCTGGGGTGCCAGGGTGCTACCTGGTGGCCTTGAGTCCCATGGGAAACTTAGCTCAGGGGCCCTCAGCCAGGCAAATGTGGGGATCACTGGTGAAGCCGGGCACCACCCTACATCAGTTCATTGGAGGCTCTGCAGTTGAGGACCTCGGCTGTAGTACTTGCTAATGGCCTCCAGCATGACAGCTGGCCAGCATGACAGCTGTGGCTTTAGTCAGTGGGTGGCACTGATGTCTCTCTAAGGAGAAAACTGCTCTAAATCAGGACGGGTGGCTTGCAAACTCCAGGGCTAGGCACGGGGCATTGTAAAGCCACCCTGTGGGGGCTGACCCTATAGCCTGGTGGCTAAGGGAGCGGGGTTCCACATCTTGACCACATAGTTCTAATTCTAGCCTTGTAGCTTGAAAAGTACACTGGATATATGTACATGCATGCCCCAAATCCCAACAGGATGGAGAAATGGAGGAAAGGGGATTGCAGCATGACTGCATTCCACTGGGGTTGCTTCCTCCCTCCCTCTGTCTCTCTCTGGCAGAACAAACAAACCCAGTGTGGCCATGGGATGAGCAGGGCTCACTTACAAGTAGGCGAGGGCATGAAGCATGAGGGTGGGGCAGCAATCCAAGTCAGAGGAGACCTCTTAAGGAAAAGGGGGCTCTGCACTGCTGATGAGAGTGTCCAGGCAGAGGAGATGCATGGGGCCATGAGTGGGTCTCGTTACAACCGAGGGGGCAGGCTGGCAAAATAAGGAGAGGTCCCATTGAAGCAGAAGGGAAGGAGCAGCTGGCAGTTGATTTTTGTTGTATTACATAGAAAGCTCCTGGCTGGATGCGGTACACAGCAAGGGCTGCGATAGCTTAGTCAGCCGGGAACCCTCTTGTAAAGAAACAGCTAGAAATGCAGGCGCACACACTGGGGGCCCCATTTAGGAGGGACTGCCAGGAAACAGGGACGTTTTTGATAGATCCTGAGAAGAGGTGTCATGAGCTCAGTTTGGAGACATGAGCTAGTAGAGAGAAAGAATAATAATAAAAGCAGCAAACTGGCCCTGTCTTGTAGGTGCCCTGCTAAGACACTGTGCCCCACAGCCTGGACCACCTGGGAGGCCTGGGTTCCATTTTCTGTCTAGCCTGAGCCTGGCACAGTGGCACACACCCAGTGACCGAAGAGATGGAGAAATGGAGGAAAGGGGATTGCAGCATGACTGCATTCCACTGGGGTTGCTTCCTCCCTCCCTCTGTCTCTCTCTGGCAGAACAAACAAACCCAGTGTGGCCATGGGATGAGCAGGGCTCACTTACAAGTAGGCGAGGGCATGAAGCATGAGGGTGGGGCAGCAATCCAAGTCAGAGGAGACCTCTTAAGGAAAAGGGGGCTCTGCACTGCTGATGAGAGTGTCCAGGCAGAGGAGATGCATGGGGCCATGAGTGGGTCTCGTTACAACCGAGGGGGCAGGCTGGCAAAATAAGGAGAGGTCCCATTGAAGCAGAAGGGAAGGAGCAGCTGGCAGTTGATTTTTGTTGTATTACATAGAAAGCTCCTGGCTGGATGCGGTACACAGCAAGGGCTGCGATAGCTTAGTCAGCCGGGAACCCTCTTGTAAAGAAACAGCTAGAAATGCAGGCGCACACACTGGGGGCCCCATTTAGGAGGGACTGCCAGGAAACAGGGACGTTTTTGATAGATCCTGAGAAGAGGTGTCATGAGCTCAGTTTGGAGACATGAGCTAGTAGAGAGAAAGAATAATAATAAAAGCAGCAAACTGGCCCTGTCTTGTAGGTGCCCTGCTAAGACACTGTGCCCCACAGCCTGGACCACCTGGGAGGCCTGGGTTCCATTTTCTGTCTAGCCTGAGCCTGGCACAGTGGCACACACCCAGTGACCGAAGAGGCTGAAACAGGAGAATCATGACAGTGAGACCTTGGTCACAATAAAACAAAAGCAGCCAACATTTCCTGAGCACTTCCTACATACAGGCACTATCCTAAGTTTTCTGAGCCTTGGCTCGCCATTTCTCACCATGAGGCCATAAGGTGGGTCCCACTGAGGAAGCCAGCACAGCCAGCCTAACATTGCATAGCGATGGTGAAGCCAGGTGCCACACCTGGGCCCTAGAACTCAGAGCCCTTATGGGATTTCCTACGCTGGACGGTCTCCAAGGATCTGTGCACAGAGGCACACGGTGGGGTGTTGTGTGCAGTGTGTAAGCTAATGTAAATCAGCCAGTCTGGGCTCAAGAGCAATGAGACTCAAAAGGCCTTGAAAGACCTCCCAGGAAAGCCTGGATTTCATGATGGTCGACAAGGAAATATAGGGCAGAACCGAGGCCAGCAGTGTGGTGGCCTGGTTCTTGGCTCAGCGGCACAGCTTGGCTGCTCCAGTAAGAGTCGCATACATCACAGTAGAACCTGTGTAGCCAGCGATCCTTCCTTCCTTTTCCTATCTCGGGCAGCTTCTGGGGCTTGGAGCAGTTGCTAGGTAGGCCCTTCCATCAGGCAGCTTAGCTAATGAAGTGGAAGAGAGCTCCAAGAACTCTTGCTCTGACTTTGCGATGTCTTCCCTCTCACAGATCACCTTCTCTCCAAGGTCAAGTCTGTTTCCAGCTGCATTGAGCAACTGGAAAAAAGCCGAAACCAGTATCTGGCCTGCCCAGAAGGTAAGAAGGGTGAAGGATCAGTTCTGTCATTAGTATTGCCAGGCTGGGTTCAGAAACATTGGAACGTGGGCTTAGGGACAGGAAAGGAGTGTGTATAACTCGTAAAGCAGGGAGGATGGGCATGTGAAAGTGTTACCTTCAGCCAGGCCTGAGCAACTTTCTTTTATCTTTCTGCCAGATATCAGCGGGCTTCTCCATGCAATAACCCTGCTTGCCCACTTGACCAGTGACACCCTCGCTCAGGGTAGCATCACCAGCCTCAGAGCCCCGCCAGAACCTGCTGACTGTGAGTACCAGGGCAAGAGGGGCCCTTCCTGAAAGCAGGGGGAGCAGAGGGCCCTTAGAAGTCTGTTGCCTTGCATCTTTAGCACTGACCGAGGCCTGTAAGGAGTACGGCAGGGAAACCCTTGTCTATCTGGCCTCCCTGGAGGAAGACGGAACCCTGGAGAATGCAGACGGCACAGCCATGAGGAACTGCCTCAGCAAGATCAAGGCCATTGGCGAGGTACAGTTAGGATTATTGTGTTATTGTTCTTGGGTGTGGGTGTCGGTGAGCTGCTGGGGAGGCCATGATGTTCTGAGCCAGTTCTTTGTTCACTTGTAACTTGATTCTAGAAAGAGTTAAAGCTAGACAATCTGACCTCCTGGAGGACTTTCCAACTGTGGTAAACTCACTGATCTCCCAGGATTTGTTGTTGTTGTTGTTGTTGTTTTAATGAGAGAGCAGGAGAGAGAGATTTTTGACAGGGTCATGCCATCTTGCAGTCCTCCCACCCCAGCCAGGACCACAGATGCACACCATTGCACTTGGCCTGTTTGGGTTGGGCTGGGAATCAAACCCAGGCCTCCCATGTAGACTCAGCCACTGTACAGTGGCACCTTTTGCCTCAGAGAACTCACTGGGCTTCTCCAAGAATCTTTATCCAGGTAGGCAGGTACCACCTAAAATGGACAGAGCAGTGAATTCGTTCATCGGGCCAGCAGATGATATAGCAGTTATGTCACTGGACTCCTACATGGACCACCTCAGTTCAAGTCTCAGATCCAGTGGCTTCAAAATCACACCAGGCACATGTGTATACATGCCCAAGATCCTGGGAAGAGAATGGTGGAGAAGGGGTTGAGACATGTCCATCCCCCCGGAGGGTGATTTCTCATTTCCCTCTTACAGTCTCTCTCTCTCAAGCAAGTACATGCACCCTAAGGGAAAAACTCTTTTTTTTTTTTAGAGAAAGATTTTTGCTTTAGAGCATATGCACTTGCCAGAGGGACAAAGAGATAGAAAGTGAGAACCCCCAGGGAGGATGGCCACACCTCAGTCCCTCTCTTCCATTCTCCTCTCAGAATCTTGGGCACACACACATTCACTGGCGTGATTTAAGCCTCTGAGTCTGGGACTCAAACTGTGGCCGACAATGTGGGAGTCCAAATGTAACCGTTAGACCATCTACTGGTCCCAAGGCAAAAACCTCAAAAAAAAAAAAAAAAAAGATACAGTCAATATGTCCTGACATTGGGTTAGGTGTGGTTATATAGGGATAAATAAAACATAGACTCTATGGGAAGGCAAAATAAGAAAATCAACCATATCTATATCACACTACATAGTGTGATAAGATCTGTAATAGAAATCTTTTTTTTTTTTTTAAGAAAGATTTTTTGCTATAGGGCACATGAGAAGCATACAGAAAGTGAGAAATCACCTCTCAGGGTGGATGGCCATGCCTCAATCCTTTCTCCATCCTCCTCTTGGGATTTTGGGCACACATGCACACGTGCCTATAATGAGTTTCAAGCAGCCGGGTCTGGTACTTGAACTGCAGTCAACCACATGGGAGTCCAGCAATATAGCCATTAAACCATCTGTTGATCTGAAATCTGTTTTGTTTTGTTTTGTTTTGTTTTTAAGAGAAATGTGCAAAGTAGCATTTTATTTAATTCCTAAAATGTGTGGTAATAAATTCAGGAAAAGAAGGGATTGAGCCCAGAATTCAGATCCTCCTCATCTCTAATTTGGACTCATATCAGCCTCTGATCAGTGTCTCTGCCTCTGGCCTCTTTTTTCCTTACCCATTAGCTAAAGTCAGAGATCTGGTGTGATAACAACAATCAACTTTGGTAGCTTGGGGCCAGGTGGTGGCACAGTGGTAATACAACTGAACCCACATGAGAAAGGTTCTGGTTCACATCCTGAGATCTCCCTGAGTGTGCTGAGCTCATGTGATCCAGGCTAGCTTGGAGGGATCATGGTGTGATGGCCCTGTTGAGGCTGCATCTCTCTCTCTCTCTCTCTCTCTCTCTCTCTCTCTCTCACACACACACACACACACAGAAAAAATAAATAAACGTTTTTTAAAAAATGTGTAATTTAACAGTACCAGCAGATGGCGTAATGGTTACATTGCTGAATTCCCACATAGCCAATTCGGATTTGAGTCCCCAACCCCAACACAGAGGCTTAAAACTCACACCATGGGGCCAACAGGTGGCATGGTGGTTAAAGGCACTGGATCCCTACATGGCTGACCATGGTTTGAGTCCCAGATCTGGCAGCTTGCTTTCAGACTTTCCCTTTCTCTCTCAGTCTCTCTGGTCAAATTTTTTTTAAATAATAGTAACAGGGGCCAGCAGGTGGCATGGTGGTTAAAGGTGCTGGATTCCCACATGGCCGACCGTGGTTCGAGTCCTGGACCTGGCGGCTTGCTTTTTCACTTTCTCTCTCTCTCTCTCTCTCTCTCTGTCCCTCTCTGGTCAAATGTAAATAAACAAATGAATAAATAATAAATAAAGTTAAATAAAATAATGTTTAAAATAATAATAATAACAAATGGAATTAAATAAATAATTAATTGTTTAAATTTAAAAAAAAAAAAAAAAAAAATCATGCCTGGATGTGTGTATGAATGCCCCACCAAAATTCTGAGAGGAGAATGGAAGAGATTGCTATGTGGTCATCACCTCGGGGAGTGATTTCTTGCCTTCCGTCTCTCTCTATCTCTCTGGCAAGTGCACACACTCTATAGCAAAAATCTCTAAATATATATATGTGTGTGTGTGTGTGTGTGTGTGTATAGCAGGTGGTAAATACCCAGCAAATATTTAATTAATTGGATATGCACACTGAGAGAGCAAAACAGATAAAAAAGATGAATGTGACCGGAGAAGTGGGCAATGGGATGGGGAACCTTGGACATCGGGATGAAGGGAGCCTGGGTAATTGCTCACTTGTCAATCAGATAGCACAGTCGTATTGCTTCTTCAGCATCATTAAGTGGGGTAGCGCTGTCATAGACAGCCTGCCTTTGCTGGAGGTAGAGCATCTACCCAGTGTGTTGCTGAACTGAGTAAACTGAGAACTTAGTACGTGTGTGCATAGAATGCAAGACACGTGAGACACATAATTAAATGAATAAAAAACAAAGCCAAGTGTGGTAGAGAGATCATGGGCAGGCTTACTTTCTGGCAATAGGGCTACAGGATTCAGAGACTCTTCCCAGCACAGGACATGGAAAACACTAGATAGCAAGGTGCTGTACACTCCCACATGACTGACCCCAGTTCGAGTCCCAGACCTGGTCCCCTCCTTTCTTGCTTTATCTCTCTCTCTCTCCCTCTGTGTGTCTGTGTGTGTGTGTGTTTCTCTCTGGCCAAATTAAAGTAAATAAATGAATAAATAAAGTTAAATAGAATTGTTTTTTTTTAAGTGTAATTGAGTAACTGGCTAAAAACAAAACAAAAAAAATATTTCAAAATCAGCAACCAAAAGGATGCGAGAGATAGTTTGTGTCCTAGGAAATTTCTGCTGTCTCTGGCAGCCTAGAGTTTGGATTTTAATGGGCCCCATCTACAGAGGAGAACAAGAAACAAAACCTACTGATAGATGTAAGTAGGAGAGACAACTGACATGGAGATCTTTCCTCCCAAAAAAGGAACCCCAAATGGTCGCATTTTGAGTAAATGGGGAAAAGAAGCCTACTGTACAGAAAATACTTAAGCCTTTGTTCTGGGATGAGAAAAAAAAAAAAAAAAAACACAGTTCTTACGCTAACCCCATGGCCTGGTAGCTAAGGGAACTGGATCCCACACAGCTGACTAAACAGTTTGAGTTCGAGTCCCCAGGGCTTGAAAAACATGCTGGGTATGAGTGTGTGCATGCCCCAAATCCCAGCAGGACAGACATATTGAGAAGAGATTGCAGTGTGACTACACCCCATTGGGGGAGAGCTCTCTTTCTGTCTCTCTCTCTGTCTCTCTCTCTCTCTCTCTCTAGTAAGTGCATACATCCTCTGGCAAAGATAAAAAGGAAAAAGAAAACACAACTCTCTAGAGAATTTCTAACAAGCTACCATCAGGGGCCAAATACACTACCTATATGACCTGAAAAACCTGAAGCAGAAATTAAGTTTGAAGTAGGTTGTTAGAGACCCAGGCACCTGGTAGAAGCAGATTCCGATTATCTCCGGAGGAATATACTTTTTTAAAAAAGAATTATTTTATTTTATGTGTTATTATTTGACCAGAGAGAGGAAGAGTGAGAGAGAGAGATAGCAACCAACCATGTCCGGGACCTGAACCATGGTCAGCCATGTGGAAGTCCAGCGGCTTAACCA